CCTTGTTTGTCTCTTTTGCGCGGCTTTTGCTTTCTCTCCCGGTCTCCCGGGAGTTTCTGTGCACGCTGTCCATGCAGCAGCACTAAATGAGTGCCGATAAAGATCCTTATGTAACTGCTAGAGTGCCCAGATCTTTGTTATGCACCGCGTGGGAAGTTTACCTCGAGGCAGGTAGTATGTTTTATCATTTTATTATAACTAATTTAAAATCGAAAATGTTAAAAAAATTCTGCCGGCGTTTTGATCACCGGAAATTCGGCCGGCATTTTGACCACACAAAAATTCGGTCGGCAGAAAATTCTGCCGGCGTTTTGACACTGGCCGAAAGCGGGGGCTTCGCTCTGTTAAGTGCCGGTACAATATGCTTAGGCGACTGTATGTGTATATAATACAGCCCGGCCGAGCTATTGCCGGCTCGCGCTCAATAAAAGTATCAAATTTCACTGTTGCGCCGGTTCGGCGGATATATTGGAGTTCCCATAGGCAATGCATAGGGTCGGGTCGGCAGAAATGTGGGTGCCGTTCGGCAGATATATGGGAGGAAAACCACTTTCCTGCCGGGCTCGCCAACAGTCAACAGGTCAATATATCTGCCGGCTAGACACGTGCACGTGGATATCTCGGGCACTATTGTTACGGAAAACGAAAAGACTGGAAAATCGCAGGCACTGAGGCAGTTCAGCATAAAAAAGACACCCGCGTCCGCCTGTGGAGGCACTTCATAGTATAACTACGTGACAACTAAATAAACATCTTCAGAGGGCAGCTACCTAAAAACAGACCCTCGAACCGTCCCAGTGTGGCAGTGTGACAACGTCCCACACTCGCAGAACCTAACGTCCTACACTCGGCGAGTCGTCTACTTTTGTCCAGTTTTCTATTCTTTCTCAAAACTAAATTTAAATTTGAATTCTACAAACTTAGGGCGACGGAATATTATCCGTTATCGAGCACGAAGTTCCATCAGCTGTAGCCGGATTGTGAAAAATATTTGTTTGCTCCTGAGACAGTGGTGAGAGGTGGTCGGTTTAGCAGTGGTTGATTCTTAGCTTTTCCTATAGAATTTTTATGTTAAAGTTTTTGAACGTTTTTTTTCAAACGTAACTATTTCTCTGAAAACTGATTTGTGATGGAAAATCTATACGTTAAGGGCTATCAAATGATACGTAGCCAAGGCAGTTTGGATCAGTAGGTCGGGCTGACGGACTCAGCAAAGATTAAGGCTTACGCGATTATTATATAGAGATACTAGCAGACCCCGCGCAATTTTGCACGGAAGAAATTGAATGAACCACTACTGTACAAATAATTTGCCTTATATTACGTGATTTAAAAATTATTTTTCTAGGTTATTCCTTAACGTTTTCTGGAATACTGTTATCAGTTCTATGCTTAATTTTTACAATAAATGTTACGCTTTATTAGGACTATTAATGAATTTCTGTTCAAATTGCATGTTTACATTTAGAATGTACTCGTATCAGATTAAGTACATACAGTATCATAATAATATTATTAATTTTCTAACACTACACTAAAAGATACTCTTACCCGGTACCATATGGCTGTACCACGGCGCGACTCAAGTTTACGTAACGTTTTTACACACGATTTTTTACCTGCACTCCCTTGTTGTAAAACGCTAGACTGACCGAACTGTTACAACCTTACAGTATTACCGCAAACGTAGCACAAAGCCCAACCGCACCTTATAAAATTAAATTTAAAATGTACTAAATAAATTAAAATTATTCATTGATTGCTATGGTGTCGACCTGCCATGTATGGAAACCCTTCCGGCCCCCATCCCTCGTAACAAAATGTTGCAAAAAGTCCCAACCCCCGCCCTTCCTGTTACCAAATATTTGAATCGCGCCTACCGGAAAACAGAATCAATCCGTGCTTTCCGTAAATTGCACAGAAGTGGCATAATTGGGATTATGTTGTATGAGTTTACGGTGCGTTTGTACGAGTATTCCCTGTTGTACTAGCGATGACGTATTGCATCCGTGTTCTTATCGGTAGCCTCCGATCAGAAGCTGCGCTTCGTCGTCGGCTAGCATCAAGTAGTTACGGTGTGACTGAGTTGGATTGAACATCAATAAGATTAAAGTGATTAAAATCATTGCGGTCCTGTTGGTGTTTGTGTTGAGTGACCTTCGGTTAGGGAAAGCAGTAGTGTGTACCTAGGCGGAAGTTACTGTGTTGTATTCCTGTAGTGTGGTAGTGTGTTCGGTGAAAGTGTGGTTGTGCAGCATCTGTTGTCTACGGAAGTGGGCAACAGAACAACACCAATCTCCAGAGTTCCTTCTCTGCTGACTGCGGTCACGTTGGTCGTAGTACACGCGGTGCGTGTGTTATGAAAACAGAATCAATCCGTGCTTTCCGTAAATTGCACAGAAGTATGCAAATTGCACGTTACTTGTATATTCAAAGTTGCCCGTACAGTAACATTTTTTGGTCAGGCCCCAGAAGACATGGATTTTGAAGGCCGTTGATTTAAGCGTTTCGATAATTCCATTTTGCCACAGACTGTCAATTTTAAATCGATTGCACCATCACAGTTACTGCCGGTCACTTATTGAAGAACGTAAAATTATGGTAATCGGTGCACTAACTTTTCTGCTATCGAAATATTTCGAAATTCCTTCAAGTTTCTAATAAATATTAAGAGCGGAAAGCACTGATTTAAGTAGTGAGCAGTTCATATTTTCACATTTTAATTATTTTTTGCATGTACCCGCACCCTGAATAAGTTTGAAGTTTGAACCACGTCGAACAAAGAGAAAATTGCCTTTGACATAATTTCTCATCCAGAAATTGGATGTCTCGCTTGCTGCTCCGCGAGCTCCGCTCGCGCCGCAGCTCGGCGTCGCCTGCGGCTCCGTCTTCGGTTAATAGTCCAGAAATACTCAACTGAGTTTTCTAAATCTTTAAATGAATTTAACAAACGATAAGAATGCATAGTGGGAGAGGTGGAACTTCGTCACGCTCACAGGACAGCCGCTTTTCCTGCAGCAGCCAAATGTGGCTAGCCAGTACAGTGCTTCAGGCCCGTGTTGAGCTTTTCGGAAGGGGGGGAGTTACTTTACCAAAAACTGGTTTCGCCGTTATTTCCGAATTTCCTGATTGGCTGTTGCATTGCTCCATAGACTTTGTATAGTAAGGTTTTCCAGAGTTTTCTTGAAAACGTATTTGTTTTCTCAAACCAAACTAATTTTGTAAAAATATACCAAGTTAGGGCTACCGAATAATATATAGATCTAAAAGATTGATCTCATTCGGGATGGATGCGCAGACACGATGACCACACCTCCTTTTAATCTTTTATTATAAAGGATAGAGATAGAATCTAAATATTTAGAAATATTTAGAAATATTTAGAAATATTTAGAAATAACACAGAATATTTTGGAATATTAAATACAATGGTAACATCGTGGCAAGCTCGGTAACCCGGGTTCGATGTCCCCGAGTACTTCAGTTCGACTCAGCATGTCAAACTGTGCATATGCAGTACAAAACGTGGTGGCGACCTCGGGGACACGGGTTCAAGGTCCCTGAGTATTTCAGTTCGACTCATCATGTCGAACTGTGTAGGGTTGGTGGCGACCAAAAGGTCACGCTGCGATCCAAAGGTTATGGGTACTTCCCGTTGCATCGAACCTTCAACATGTCTTGAATAAGAAACGCGGGCTCGCTTCACTCTCAGGCTTGATTATTTAACTGCGATGATGGCCAGAAATTTGATAAAAAAGCGTTGTCAGGGAGGGTCTTTCCGCCCCTCTGACTATTTGCTGTTGGGCTTTGCTGTTTTCTTTGAGGTTGCAATCTCTGCATTTTACATGCTTTTGATGGATCTGCAGCACATCTGCGCTAGCGCTGAAGATCCACTTAGTTGGTTTTTGATGGCGGCAACGTCGCAAATAAAGTCATTGTTTCCGTGTTGTTCTGTCGAGGATACGTGAGCGCCCATAAGAGCGCCCATAATGTCCCACGTTGAAGTGCCAAAATTATTGTGATTTTTTGTAACGAAGGACTGGGCCCAATGCGGTGCAATTTTTTGAACGTAAGTAGTATGAGCCCGGAAAATTCCGGGCGCGTTGTCAAATGCAATTAAACAAACAATAACCTTCCTACTATAAAAATGTTAATAGAAATGAAGCTTTCTTTAATTAAATTTTGAAAAATTGTTAAACACAGTTATTGAGGCACGGCTAATAACATTTATGACAGTTATTAATGTACACTTTAAGCACTGAAAACGGAATTTTGTAGCGAAAAGTTGTATCTTGATTTCATTGGCTGCTTGCATCGAATTTTCGAAAGTGAAATTAGCCCCTTCGCTCCGCCCGAGTTTTCATTGTTGGACAAGTAGGGTTTACTATAGGAATTTAGGCATATGACCTCTTGCCTGGTTAGTTTTGGTATACTGCCGGTCTCATGAGCGAATTTTTAGCGGAAACAAATGTATTTTGCAGTTATTTTAATTCTGGTATCAATATATCTTTTCAGACAAACTTAGCCCATCGCTGACTGTCGGGCAAATTTGTGCCATCGTTGGAGCAGTGGCACTCCTTGCAGCGCTGATCGTGATAATCGCTGTCTGCTGGAGGAAACGGTCAAGAGGAGGCGCTAAAGCATCTACCGAAAACGACATTGAATTGAATGGTAGGTGAACTGCCCTCCTCGCTGTCACACTTGTCCAATCCCTTAGTGATGAAAACGTTTGGGGCAGCTTGTACGTGAATTTGTATATTTTATGGGCCGCAAAATTCGTGATTAAGCTGGAGAAGCGCGTTCCACTGCTTTTATCAAGCAACATTTCAGTTTAGCTATCACTAGCGGTGGTTGTTAACCACATTATTGCACGAGCGCGAGCACTAATACCACTGGGAAATGGTATTGGGATTGTGGAATTGGAAAAGTGTTACGTACGCTCTTTGTGGCGTCAGACAAATTTATGCTTTATGCTTTAGCAGGGCGACCCCAGTGCTCCTATGTTATATGGTTTACTAACTTTGGCGCCTTGTTCACTTTTAAAAACGCTCATTAATCTGTGGTACCTAGACGACGGTGTCAGTGCAGGTAACCCGCCAACAGTTCGCGACGCATTGTTGGAACTCCGCGGAGCGGCCGCTGAAATTGGTCTGGAACTAAACACGAAGAAATGCGAACTGTACATAGACGGGGGAAGTGCCAACGAGCGCGCGGAAGTGGTCCGGATGTTTATGGACGTGGCACCGGATATACGCGTCGTCACGCCGGACAAGCTAGAGCTGCTGGGATCTCCTCTATTACCGGAAGCAGTTGTGGGCGCGTTGATGAAGAAGGTCGGTCAAGCACAAGTGCTGGCCGACCAGCTCGGTACATTGCCTACACATCAAGCCTTATTTTTGTTAAAAAACTGCTTGTCGCTGCCCAAGTTGTTATACCTTCTTAGGACTGCAGAATGTTGGCAATACCCGGAAGCGCTACAGAAGTTTGATGAAACGATACGGACCAAGGCGGAACAGCTGACAAATGTCGCAATGACTGATACGGTATGGGAGCAAGCTGCGCTACCTACGAAGTTCGGCGGGCTGGGTTTGGTGAAAGCAGCAGATGTGGCGCTCGCTGCTTATGCCTCATCGTTGCACGGAGTTGCCGACGTGGTGTACAGTATTGTCCGCAGTAACTCTATCCGAGAAAAATGTACGCGCCTTACAGAAGTATGGACGAGTCGCTACACGACCGAAGCCCCAGAACCGAAAACCGCCGCTTTCAGTCACGGACAGCAGTACAGCACACTAGAACTGCGACCCGCATGGTGGAGAACGCCGACGTAATTACCCGCGCTCGTCTGTTGGCTGCATCCTCATCGGAATCCCGTGCATGGTTAGCTGCATTACCTGTCTCGATTTTTGGTAACATGTTGGAGGACGCCCATTTACGCATAGCTGTGGCTCGACGATTGGGAGCACCGGTATGCCAACCGCACGTATGTCGCTGCGGATCCACAGTGGATAGTCTCGGCCACCACGGCCTGGTGTGTAAGCTGGCAAAAGGAAGACATGGCACTCATGCCGTGTTGAACGCTGCAACAAAAAGAGCCTTGAATTCCGCCAGAGTGCCGTCGACGCTTGAGCCACCGGGACTGGATAGAGGAGATGGGAAGCGGCCGGACGGAGTTACTGCCTTTCCTTGGCGCAATGGGAAGCCGATGGTATGGGATGTCACTGTTGCTGATACCTTCGCCCAGACCTACATAGGCCATACATCGCGTGTCCCAGGAAGCGCAGCGGAAGTGAGAGAGAATCAGAAGTTAGGGAAGTACGATGGACTCGCGGATCGATACGTAGTACAACCTCTGGCTTTTGAAACTACGGGGACATTTGGACCACTAACAAAGAAATTTTTCAAAGATCTGTCAAGAAAGATTTGCGAATGTAGTGGTAACCCTCGGTCGGGGAGAGTTTTGCGTCAGAGAATCAGCATTGAAATACAACGCGGAAGTGCTGTGTCTGTCCTCGGAACATTTAATGAGATGCGAGACAACGAAGACGTTTTTTTAGCGTTTAGATTGGCTAATCGGGAATGATTGGAGCCCGATGTTGTATTTCTTAGCAGCTCCGCTGTGATTTTGTTATTATGCAATAAAATATGGCACCATGTACTACTGTCTAATGACCTTTGCGTTCTTCTTTTGAATTTATGCTCTTAACGATCAGTTAATTGCAGCACCTCGCGCTTCGTGCTCGGTGCAAATTAAGGGAAACGCTACTGCATTGTTAAGTACTTTGCCTTTTAACCCGCGAGCGGACACAGATTTGGTTGTTTTTTTAATGTTTGAATTTTAGCTGTGAAGTAGTGTGCCCGCGCGTGCCTTTTTGTTATTTTGATGGCCATTGCCTTTTAACGAGATTTCACCATTTCACGCAGTTTCACTTTCATTTCATTTCACTTTCACATTTCACGCGAGGGTCCGGGTAATTATGAATGAAAGTGAAATGAAAGTAAAAGAAGAAAGCGTGAAAGCGTGATTTAACTGCAAAGTTCCAAAAAAAATAATAATACTTATTTGCAAATACGGCAGTCCCAGTAATATTTTCTACATTAAAACTCTTTCCAAGAATCCAATGTAATAATTGAAAACTTTATACATTGTTATTGCCAGCAATAAACAAACTCAAATTATTGATTGATTGGATTAATCCGCGCTTGTCACCGGCAGAAAGGTCTACGGGTTAATAGTTTACGAACAGCCGCGTAAACCTTTCTGCCAACATCTTAACCTTTCCGCCGAACTGCGTTGATCTTTCTGCCGAGCCATTACTTGCATTCTTTGTCGTTTCATTGATTCAGATATTTCCCAAGACGGGTTTCAAATACCTTTGCAAAGTGAACCTGCAAGCCCGTTGACGCGGGAGTTCCTCGAGAGCTTCCACGGAGACGGGCTAATTATCGACCCCGCCTGCCTGGAGTACGGCCGCGTACTGGGCTCGGGCTATTTTGGGACAGTTTACGAAGGACTCCTTCGTTCGGTGGTTGGCGAGCCGGCAGCAGATGCCCGGCGGGTGGCTATCAAGACCATTCAAGGTCTGTCACATCGTTCAGCGTTTTTAGCATTGTACTTAACATGCATCACTGTTGCTGCGCTAGACCTGCCGGATTTCCTGAAGGAGGGCTCGGTGATGAAGTACCTGCGGCACGATAATGTGATAAAGCTGTACGGGATCTGCGTCAGCTCGTTGGACGGGACGTTGACCAGTCCGGGTCTGGTGATGCCCCTCATGAGCAATGGCGACCTGAATACCTACGTCAAGCAGCATGTAAGCGACGCGCTACCCGAATCTGATTACTGAGATGAAATTTAACATGACCTTTGAAATAATCGACATAAAGTTCAGTTCAGTTTATTTGGCATTACCTACACGAATAACAGCGACACTTCCTGACCTTTCTACTGCGTGACAGCCACGTATTATGCGCATTTCGGCGTAGCATTTCCGGTAACAACGTTACAACAGCCAAACTAAAAAGGCTGTTGCATGTTAGAGAGAATATGAGAAATTATTACGCTTAAGCTTTTTCCCAAATTTGGCAGCTAAATTGTGAATTTCCCGGATTTTTATTTGTCGGCTTACTGTGCAGGATGTGGTGCCGAAGGATATGCTACGCCTTTTGGTGCAGATCGCCGAAGGGATGGCCTACTTGTCCAACCATAAGATCATCCACCGAGATCTGGCCGCGCGTAACTGCTTGTAAGCCGGCTTTTTGCCTCGTCCCTAATAACGACTGACAACGCCGTTAACGCTTGTTTTTTTAGACTTGACGATAAACTTAATGTCCACATCGCGGACTTCGGGCTCTCCCGCGACCTCTACGAGTCCAGCTTCTACTGCAACCCCAAATCAAAAACGCATCTCCCCTACCTCTGGACCGCGCCGGAATGCTTCCACAGTCCTTACTCTACCCAATCCGACGTGGTCAGTTCAGCGAGTGTAACTTGTTCAGGCGCAAGGCGAACCGCCAATTTTCTGTTGTACTCGTAAGATGAAATTATATAAATTTGCTAAATGCTTCCAAAGTTCAGGGAAGTGTTAAGAAATGCTTTCTAGTGATTTACTTTCCAAAGCAAATTTCCGAGACGGTCCAGTAATGGCCTAGCTAATTTTTGGTGCTCGACAGTGTGTGGAAGAATTTCATTGCCTTTAAATGATCTGTGAGGGACGCGCGTACATACTAACTGTCCTGTGGCTGTGTTGCAGTGGAGCTTCGGCGTGGTGGTGTGGGAGCTTTTCGAGAAGGGCAAACGTCCCTACGGCGGAATGGATTGCATGATGCTGCGGGACTTACTGGACAATGGTTTCCGTCTGGGGCGCCCGGCCAGCTGCCCCCCAGAAGTGTACGCTCACCCGTATTTTTGCATTACAATTAGGAAGATAGTATACTTATATGGCAGATTTCGTTGGGATTTTATCGAACGTTATCCTTTCCTACCGGTATCTGCATAGTCTGTACAAGTTTGAGCTTTTTTAGGGGGAATAATATGTAACTAATAATCTAATGTTGGTTTTACCGGAGAAAATAAGTGAACACTGAAAAAATATTTACAAACATTCCTGTATCTGTACAACAACAGCTTATTTTTTCCCTTTGAAAGGATTTTTTATACAGCAGTTTTAGTGAGCATTTTGATAGATGTTTTATACATACTGTATTCTAAAACTTAGTGCATTTAATTATTTTTGTGCAATATTTATTAAAATCTCAGTAAACATATTGGTTTCAAAGAAGTAAATTTTTTTGATTTATTATCACGGATGGTGAGAATTATTAACGAATGTGCTTGTTAGTGTGTAAACATTATTGAAAATGCTCTACAGGTATGATCTGATGGAACAGTGCTGGAGCCAGGTGCCGGCTAGCCGTCCAACCTTCTCGTGTCTCTGCGTCGATCTGCGCGACATCCAGAACGCCCAGCAGCTGAACGGCAGTGCGCCGCGCTATGATAACGTCTGCGCGTTGCCGCCCAGGAACGACCCCGGCGACAGCGACGGGGGGAACGCGACGGCGGGCAGCATTTTCCTGAACGCGGGCTACTTTGCCGCGGCGGCCGCGCAGGAGAATTGAGCAGCCGCTGCAGTTACACGGCGGCGGCTTCAACGAAGTCCGTCGTGCCCATTCCTTCTCTTTCATTGATCTTACACAGCGGATGCATCCGACACTGGCACTGATTTTGTTTTTTCTATGAGGCGCATTGCTGGTTTTTCCTTCCCCCTTCCTGGGCGCATTTAATTTTTCGAGAGACGTTGGCGGAATATTTTGTTGAGTTGTTGCGTTGGCTCGTATAGAAAAACCGCGATTTTTGTTATTTCTTTTTCCTGGACTTTTGCGGTACACGAGTACCAGTAGTTGTTGAGCGGATAGCTACACTAATACACTTGGTACAATTCTATGCTGTCGTGCTGTACTTCGCTTTTTCTCTTATTCCGGTCGCTTCAACTACAGTATAGAATTTCATATTCCGTTCACCAGGTAGCAAAATGTTCTAACAAAACAAAATTCACGGAAATGGTTAGTTTTCGTAATAACGACCTCTCTTATTAAATTTGAAGCGTAAACAACAATAAATTTCTACCGTTGTGAAAAAATATGCCGTTGTGAAAAACTATAGCTTTGGTTTCTCTATAGCGTCTTTCGCTCTTAAGTTTACTGCTGTTATCGAATGTGAAAGTTTGTCATGCACGTAGACGAATTTCATGTACCGCGCCAAATCCCTTAAACGCATCCCTTAAACGCATCCCTTAAACGCATCCCTTAAACGCATCCCTTAAACGCATCCCTTAAACGCATCCCTTAAACGCATCCCTTAAACGCATCCCTGTTATCGAATGTGAAAGTTTGTCATGCACGTAGACGAATTTCATGTACCGCGCCAAATCCCTTAAACGCGCAAATTTTTTTTCATTTTTGCAAATCGAAGAAAATTTGAACGCTTCTATAGCTCGTTCTGCTGTCTTTCTTATGCTGTTTACATTTGAAATTTTTTTATCTCTTTCTTACTCGAACTATGTATATTAAATTTTTGTAATCTCTTTAATTACCCCATACCTCAAACACAACTGGTCGCGCGCTAGCGCGACCGATACTTGAAGTCACATAAAACTACGATGCTTATACTAAACTGCGATGCCGGACAATGTTATTATAACCGTCGGATATAATGTACATACAGAGTATAGTGTACAAATCGTACATAGCTTGCTTCGATTAAAAGTAGTGTGATTACACCAGGCTTCTGAATAAGATGGACGACTTCTTTGCAGTCTCATCTTTACTATTTTACAGCGTCTTGATTAAAGTGTCTAGAGCACTCTGCTCATCCTGTACTTTCGGCTGGCCCCCGTGTAAGTCCATTCGCGTGTAAACCTAAAGTACGGATTATAATTCCTCATCGAACTGGAGTGTTACCGATGCCGCATCCTGTTCCAGTTCGCGAAACTGATATCATAATCCGTGATCGCAGGGCTTGGAAACGACTGGCTGCTGGAACCGGGATGCGTCCCTCTGGCAATCCAAGGACTTGGAATAATTCAACAAGATTAGTTCCTGATTTTAATGATTAACCAGGATCTCGGTTACTTACTTCTGTGTAGAAACCCCGCACGATCGTTAACAACAACAAGCCTCCCCCCGTTTGAAGGTTCAACAAAACTTCTCTATAATTCATGCACGATCGTTAACAACAACAAACTTCCCCCCGTTTGAAGGTTCAACGAAACTCTATAATTCATGCTCGATCGTTAACAACAACAAGCCTCCCCCCGTTTGAAGGTTCAGCAAAACTTCTCCATAATTCATTAGGAGCAGAATTTTATATTGCTTCAAGTGAACGGCTTCATAACATAAAAACAACCTAATAAAAAAAAACAACCTAATTTTGGTTGTTTTTGGAACTTGTAACCGTAGTATGTAATCATTGTTGTTAAACACGAAGGAAACCAATAAAAAGTATGGACC